TGTGGGGGCGATATGCTGACTCTGTAAACCGCTTAGAGAGGGCTGAAACCCCTATGAAGCGGTATATAAGTCTAACTGCTATTGCTATTGCTAACAGCTGGGTAGGTGTGCAACAAGATGAGCCAGTTTCTAATAAACAACACTAAAACTTGTGACTTACCAAGATATAGACGGTGCCATCCATTCCTTGGATGCTGAACCTAAACGTGCTTCTAGAAAATGTAAGTTCCATGAAGCATTTGGCTACAACAGTTTGTATAAAGGAAGACCTGTTTTGGAGCCAAAAAAAACAATTATATATAAAATACCAAGAAATACCATTATTTGAAAAACAAGTGAGAATGTCAAAAAAAACATCCTAGGCCCAGTAACCGATTCTAGTAATTAACTTTTTTAAACCTAACTTTTTAGGTCCCACCAGCTGTATTTTTAGTTTATAATCTCCTAGGATGTGCTGCAGCACATTGTTGTGGCAATTTTACACCCACTTAAAACTGGGAAGAAAATGTTGCCCTCATCAATTTGGGAGAACTAAGGCTGTAAATAGGATTCTGAAGGCCACATTCAGCTAGCAGTCTGCCCATTCGTCTTCAAGGACATTCTTGTCTCATTCTCCCCCCCCCCCCTATCCTTCAGATCTATCAAAACAACACTGGTAGGACCTAGGGTCCCAACCTAATGGGGCAGCATTAGGCGCAAGGCTACATTTGACCAAGTCACATTTTAGCATTTTCTAGTAGTATTTCTATCTTTCTTGGTACTCCACTGGAGTACCAGCTACAACTCAGCTGTGGTCAATGGTTCACCAACAAAAGGGTGACCGACAAAAGCATGCCCGACTAAACCGCGGTGACAAAACCGTGAGTTCTAAACCGCGACGACGACTGAGCGCTGAAGTGCGCCGACAACAGCGCACCGACAGAAGCGCGCTGTAAACCTAACCCTAACCCTTACCTTAAAACGCGCTTCTGTCAGCACGCTGTTGTCAGCGCGTTGATGATGTCGCGGCACACGTTGATGATGTCACGGCGCATGTCGATGACGTTGCGGTTTAAGTGCCGTGCTTTTGTCAGCACGCTTTTGTCATGCGCGCATTTGTCAGGTCACGGTGGTCAATACTATTTGTTAATAAAACTGGCTCTTAAAATGGATTTTTTTTTTTACATTTAAAAGTATAATTAACAAATTACTGTCCAAAGCAGTTTTGAATTCTTTAAGCATAGCTATCCATTTGTTCTCCTGCCCTCGTATTTCCATCCTTCTTCCATAGTTACAAAACACTTTTTCCCTACATCATAAATTGCCACATCTATTTTGAATCAGAATGGGTCCAAGACAAAGTACCTTAAATTAATGAGAGTATGCACCAATCTTATGAACGCTGCCTGCGCTGAGTATACGCTGGACCCACAGTATGGAGGAAGCCAAGTGTCAGATACCAACAGAGTTTTCAGAATTATTTTTAATTATTGTACACTTACAAGTATGCAACTACAATTGCATCGCATTCCTGTCAGAAGCACCGAGACACTTCCAGCTTGAAAACATTACCTGGTAACATCACTGTTGTCCACTGGATGCCCAGCTGGGGGCTGCATTCATATTCCCAGCAGGAGCTGGAGCAAAAGACGGGCACTCACCCCACCCTGCATCATCTCAAACATGGGCTTGCTAACCTCCAACTCAGTATCCTAACCACATAAGCCACTGTGCTCCTGTACAATTGCCGTGACTCTCAGTATATACTTATTCTTGGTCATCACTACATTTTTGATGTCCAGTGTGATGCAGGCATAAAACAAATGCTAGAAAATCCCCCCTTTATATACTAATGGCAGCAGACTAAATTCTGTGATTTTTTTCCCTTCAGAAAGATGTTTTTTAGTCAAATGTCACCCTACAATTAAAAAGGCAGAAACTTTAATGAATCCGAAAGCTGCATAGGCTAGAAAGTGATGGCTAGATACCAGCTTTTAATTGCCAATTATATGATTCATGGCAGAAATTAATTAAAGCAACATTAGGTTTGCATAATGTGCCACTGATTAACCCTAACCCTTGCTACAGCGGCAAGTGAATGATTGGGTTGGGAACTTATTAATTCTGTTGTAAGCATACTGGAAACAATGATTTTACAAGGGCATTGTCAAGATATTAAAAGCATTTTCAAGGGCAGAATAACCAATATGAAAACCTGGGTTGTCCAGTCCAGAAGAATAGAAAATACTTCTGGTTTCAATAAAAGAGTGGATTTGGTTTTGTAGATGCAGCAAGAATGAACACTCCTCTACTTACTTTGTTACCTGCTATGAAAATTGCCCAAACCTTGTTTGTGAAGAGTGAGCAACGGAGCACCCATATTTTCAAAGCTATGAAAGAGGCTCAAGGACCTTCCACCCTTTTAAAAGTTGCATGAAAGTGTTTTTTTAATTGCCAAAATTTTATAAGGATGTTAAACATTGTCAAAAATTTCTATGTTCTTACATGAAATCTCATAAGATCTGGCTGATTTATTTATTTTTAATAATTGCTTTCTTTTTAAAATTAACGTTCCAAGTTCACTTACTTACTGAGGGGTAACTTATAATGCAGAATCACACCATGGTGCCTGCCCTTTGATTGCTGATCCCTGCACTATGAGAACAAGCAACAAGATTCAATCTTTTCTATTTACTTCTTGAACAAAAGGACAAGATTCAGACTTTTGGAGCGACAGATGTGGCCAAAAGTATTGGAATCCTTTACTTTTTCCCAAAGAATCCCAATTTGCCATGAAACAAATTGAAACAAGTAAATGGAATCCATTTTTATTCCATAAAGCAGAAAGCTTGCATTTGATGTATGACATAACATATTCCTATAAAGAATAAAACAAATGAAAATGGCATGGCATAATTATCTTAGAAGTTAAAAGTCATTATTGGATTTAAATGAGGAGTGCCTATATTTTTGGCCAACTCTGTAACCCAGAAGAGAGATTGTGATTTTAAAATTGGACATTTGAAATCTAAGAAATCGATTTAAATCTTTGATTTCCATGTTTATATTCCCTAATGTCATATCCTTATTACACAACTAAAAGAGAGAGAAAAGAGCAGGAAAAACAATAAGTATATTTAGTGAATACACAATTATCATTACTTAAAACTATATAGAGGGTTTTGAATTAGTTTCCCCAAAGAGGAAATTATCAGAAAGTTGCTTTACATGTAATATTTGACAAGCCATACCATTTTAATATAGAAATATGTGATACTACCTTGGTATTATGCAAAAGCTGTCTTCAGATGGCTGAATAAGCAATTCTGTGAAATAGTATTTTATGATACCTACGAGGGGAAAAATGAAATCTTTGTGCCATATGAATTAATGTACAATGACAATACAACTTAAGTCGGTAAGTTATGAAAACATTACAAGGAAACAAGGAACATGTTTGAGGTCATGGATCACATAGAACTAAGTAGCTAAGAGAAGAGCCACGTGAAACTAGGCCTAGAGACAGAGGTGGGTTCCTACCAGTTCGCACCTATTCGGTAGAACCGGTTCGTCAAATCTACTGAACTGGTTAGAAGAGATTCCACCAGTGGACCCGGAAAGCAGGCCACACCTACAGAAGAGGTTCCAAAAATTTTTGAAACCCACCACTGGTCCTTGGATA